TGGGACTTTGCCTGTGCCGGGAACGCTTTGGTTCGTGGACCGCCGATTCACAGATCGTGAAGAGGGGGCTTATGATTCTAACTTCGTTATCGAAGTAGAAATTGAAACGATATCTTATCGAAGTAAGATAGTCGTTCTTCTTAAAATCAAGTCGAAGCTTAATTTCAAGGCGTTGCAAGAAAAGAACTCAAATCTGCTCTCTCTCTGCTCTGGAATGCTCTAACAAATGCTCGATCCTCGTCAGAAGTGACCCTAGGGGGGTATTTATAGCCTCAAGGGTCAGTAACTGCAAAAACTTAACAATCGAAGAAGTCAGTACGGCGAGACAGTGTTTACTGTCTCGCTGGGCGAGACAGCGTTTGCTGTCTCGACCCGCGAGACAGTAAATTTGCTGTCTCGCTCAGCGAGACAGTAAATGCTGTCTCGGAAAATGGCAGTTTCTCGCTGTAACTGTTCTCTCACGTTTCAAACTCCGTTATTTTGGCAGTTATCCACGTGATTTTCGCCCATGATGTTTCCCACGTCCCTTGGGAGTTAATGGACACGTGTAGGGCAGTTACAAATATAGTTTTGACTATTTCAACACTGTCTCGCTGGCGAGACAGCAAAGACCGTCTCGCTGGCGAGACAGCAAAGACCGTCTCGCTGGCGAGACAGTTCATACTTGTTTTGATTTTTCCAAAACTGTATGAAATCCTTTCTTGTGAATTTTTGAGTGATCTTCTCTATGCTTGGGATATCTATTAGCATTTTTTGACGCCTACATCGGCGACTTTGTGTTTCCTCAGCCCCAAATAGAGGCTTTAGTGCCCAACAAATAGAATATAGAGGCAAAACTTGGTGTATTAACAAGCCAGAAAAAAATGGGACAAAACGTATAACCATTTACTAGAGCCTGTCGTCTATTTTCCAAACACATTAACAATCTCTCACACAATATATATTCTATTACGAACAGAAAATAGCTGAATGATTGCGATATTGTGTAATTAAAAAGTAAGAGTTCAAAATTTTGAAAGTGGTTGACATCATGTACTTTTAGTGGCTCTAATTTCTTAATCTGTTTGTAATATGATATATCATGTCTCGTATTGAGGCTTTCTCCAAAGGAAAAATAAAAATTGTTCGGGAATTTTTTTTTCCCACGAGTTGTCTGGTCGAGGATTGGATTTCGTTGATTTAGGGACTATTTGGCTATAGATCTGTATTTTCGATTTATGACAATGTAAGAAATACAATGAATCTTTAACAATCCACATTTTAAATTTGTGTTTGTTTTGTATGATAGTAGAATTGAAATTTAGCTTAAAAAAAAGAAATCTAAGAATTCATGTTTGTGCGTAAAGAAAGTGTTAAAAGTTGAAAAGTGATTATGTGGTCCTATTAATGATTAATTTTATTTTAAAAATATAAACTTTTTAAATAATTATACAACCTAAACTTAATAAATAAATATATTACACAATCTTTGACAAACCCTGAAGAATTCTTCCAACCAGACAGCTGCTTAATTTAACGAAAAATTGAATATAAAATCTATTTTCTGAAAGGGGGTTAGTCACCTAGAACTTAAAATTAGAACTGAGATAATCTGTGAGATAAATTTTTAAGGTGTTAGTCACATAGAACTAAAACTAGAACAAAATTTTACAGTGTTAGTCAAGTAGAATTCTAACAAACTAGAATTGGGATAATGGTACAAAATTATCCCACTTTTTTTTATTTTTCTATACAAAAATGAGAGTTCTAATCTGATCTCTCAAATTATTCCAAGTTTTAGCTTGGAACTAGGTGGTAAAAAACTAGAACTCATATTTATTTTTTTATTTGTTATTTTTTTATATTTCTTTTTTTCTTTACTTCTTTCCTATTATGGTTATTATCATCATTAGACCATCATTGTAATAATAATTATTAATATCTTATAGTCTAACCAAAAATTATTTAATAGTAAAAAACATTCTTGTAAACAATTATCAATCAATAATAGTAAGTTTAAAATACATAAATAGTATTTATATCTTCAAAATGTATAAATATATATTTCATGATTATAAAAATTTATCCCACGTTATTTTATCAAAATATTTCTCTTCACAAAATTATTCCTATTTTTTTATCCTACTAAAATATCTCACTAGCAAAAAATTATTCCACTTTAACAATTATCCCATTTTGTATAAAAATGTCCCAATTGACTAACACCCCTTCAGAATGTCCTAAGAAAGAGGAAATTTTTGAGGTAAGAATTTTCTGTCTTGAATTTAAATTCGAAAAATGTTTTAAGGACTCAAAATATGGGACCAAGTGAGGGGACATGAGAAGTGTCCCCTCCCTATTACATAATGAGCTGGTCATGCCAGTTCATTACCAGCTCATTATGCAATAGGGAGAGGACACATCACATAACCCTTCTAGTGGTCTCATATTTTAGGTCTATGTAGCAGCGCTCTTTGAATTCCATCCACTTTACTCACCGAACCTTATATTTAATTGTATTTTCCCTTTTTTGGGAATTCCAAGAAAACAAAAATACGGTGTATTTAAGAGGGTAGGGGATAAGACGGGCGAAATAATGCTGTATGAGCATGTAGTCGTGGTCCATGCTAAGCATGGATGGATGGACCACTCCATGTGGTAAGTACTCCACCGACCATCACCTCTCTGTTTGTGTTCTGCCCTGAATAGGATCATAATACCAACCAACAACCCTCACCAACTCCTTAACCTCTCCAAACTCATTTACTCTTCATAAAAAAATGCAGCTACTTGCGAATAGAGTTGCTCCGAAAACTGCTTTTTTTTCCTGACCAACAGCATAATCGTTACTTGTTAGCTCAAGAAGATATCAATGCTACTCAAGTGTTGTTTTGTTGTCCAAAAAATTGGGAGCCTAAAATAGTAAATACTTGTGAAGTTTGAAGATCCGTTCCTTGATAAAAGGATACACGGAGGGTGCATCATTATCAGAGCTGGACAACGAGCATGTATCAAATGCAATCTGATGAACATATGGAAACAGTAACATGTATTTTTCAAATGTCACGTACGGCATTGTCTTTCTATTTCATTTGCGTAATAAGAAAGAAGCTCCTATATTGTTCATGTTGACATTCAGGGGCGTAGCCAGGGCAGTCTTGCCCTGGGCAGCTGCACAGGGCAAGAAACTGCCTCACTTCACCTCCCCCTCCCGCCTCTCCTCGCTTCCCTTCTTCTCCGGCCACTTCACCTTCCTCTTCCGCAGATCCAACCTCCTCTCCCTCCTCTTCCAGGACCTCCATCTCAACAATCCCCAACCCTCCTCCCTCTCCCGCGCCTCCCTCCTCTCCCTCACCGAGCTCCTCTCCCTCCTCCGTCGCTTCAAGTCCCTCACCGCCGACCACCTTTAGTTTTCGCCCAGGGCAAAAAATATTTCTGGCTACGCCACTGTTGACATTGTATTTAATTTTTTTCAGGTTAGGTCGCATTTATGTGTTCCTAAATTGTACTTAATTACTTTAGCATATTACAATTTTTCAAAAAAAAATAGTTTCATAATTACTGTTTATTTAATTTGAAATCATACGAGGTGCGTTTACGGATAAAAATATTTTTCATCTGCCTTACTAATGCAATTAGTTGCCATACAATCTTCCGAGGGTTATACGTCAAAGAAGAACTGCAGAAGGGATATATGCAATAAGTCCTCGCTTTTTTCTATTTTCCATTTGACTTCAGCAATTTCACAATCACTTTCAATTAAATAAACAAACACTCAGAAAGAGTGAAAAACATTTCGCTCTCGCACTTTCACTTATATTTTTATGCAAACAAACAACTCCTAATTGTTTTAGTGGGCTTTTACTGTAATTCTTTATTTTATTTATTTTTATCTCCCTCTTCTTTTCTTCTTTAAATAACTAGTATTTAAACTCGTGCAAAACTTGGTTTCTAAAAAATATTGTATAAAAATATTGAACATGTTATCAAAATAAATTATTCCGCTTTGGGTTGATGAAGTGATCCTCAAATTTCTCAAATAATTAAAATTTAAAACAAATCTAAAAAACAGAAAGGCAAATATCCTATCAATTTTAAAAATAATATTTTCAAGAAAAATTTGCAAATAAAAGAGAGTTTAGGGGTTTTTAGTCTATACCACTGGAAGAACTTATATTTGTGCTTCTCTCCATCGGGATTCCATCTGAAACATAAAGAAAAATATTCCATCAAATTCAACAATAATATTTTTCATTGATAATCAATTTTCAAGTCTATAAATTGGAGAGGAGACTCAAAGGAAAATTATATGCAACTCCATTATAATCAAGCAAATAACCTGTTGAAGAATCTAAACACTAATAAATAATGAGGTATTCTAGACGAAAATTTCCGTCTAGGATACCTAGAATTTCGTCTAGAATGCGTATTCTAGACGGAATTTTGTTTAGAATACGCGTCTAGTATGTTTCCGTCTAGGATGTAGTATTCTAGACGAAAATTCCGTCTAGAATATATTCTAGACGGATTATTCTAGACGGAATTCAAAACCGTCTAGAATACATCCTAGACGGATTATTCTAGACGGAATTTCTGTCTAGAATACTACATCCTAGACGAAAAAAATTTCCGTCTAGGATGAGTATTCTAGATGGAAATTTCCGTCTAGGATAGTCATCCTAGACGGAATTTCCATCTAGGATGTTTTTTAATTTTTTTTTTAATTTTTTTTCAAAAAAACAAGTATCCTAGACGGAATTTGAGCATCCTAGATGGAATTTCCGTCTAGGATGCTATGCTACAGTATTTGTTTTTTTTTTGCAGAATCTATTTTGAGTGCATGTACACAATATTGAACAACAAAAAAATTATATTCATATCCAACACAGAATCTACTTAAAAAACTACAATTTACACTCATGTTCGGTAAATTAAAACAGGATACAAGCATGCCAGACGAATATCGTACAATATTGATAACATATATAGTAGCAAGTAAATTAAAACAGGATACAAGCATGCCAGACGAATATCGTACAATATTGATAACATATATAGTAGCAAGTCCTTCAGTCACACTGACATACATCACACCAAAATCGGCTACTGCTAAGTAACAAGTTTTTAAACAACACTTAAACGGTCCCCATTACAACTTAATATAGCTAGAGAATAAAATTAGTAGCTCGATCAACTCGAAGAAGACGAAGTAGAATCTGTCGTCATGTACTAAAACTCTACATGTCCAGGCCAGGGTAAAAGCAGCACCTCAGTCATTCTTCGTGACCTCTCATCACCTCAACTACCAATTTACATCAAATCAAATAAAAATGAAATCAGTAACAAGCGTTTTGTATATGGAATTGACCAGTGGAGAGATCTAATTAGTGGAACTAAGTATATACCCTAGTTGGAGAACAGGTAAATTTTGTGTCAAAAAAGAACAAAGCACACAAGTAAGAGTGAATGAATTGCAGTTAGGTAATGTACACAAAACAAAGATGAAATATTAAGAGTCTTTATGCAGTTAGGTAATTGTTGTTGACTGTAATGCACACAAGTAAGGCATAAAGGGTCTTTTAAGTAAGAATGAAGAGTCTTTCATAAAGCACCAGAACTTCAGAAATGTAAACTCCTATTTATTATGTAAGCAAATGAGTATATAAGATTACCAAGACTTGCGGCAACTATTGGCTCATAATCAAACCGATCAAAAATATAATCCACAGGGCTTCCAAGCTCTTCTTCAATAATTGACACAGCTGTTTTTGAAGGAAATGGAGGCAATTGGTCCTAAATAAGCATAGAAATCAATAAATTTAATAACTTATCTGAAAAAGTTGCATCTATCAGTTCTGAGGGTGGAAATGCCACCATTAACTGATAAATACCAAGAAAAATATTATCGACAAAATGGTAACCACTTGCCAATTGAAAAAGAAGATATCATAAAGTAATGTTACAAAAATATATATACAGAACAAATGCCACTACTTGTGAGCTAAATTTTGGAATGAACAGGTCATGGACAGCTTTGTTGACAAAGTTTGTCCACAGCTATGCTAGAAGATGGTTCTTTTTTTTAATCTTTTTGGAGTTGCAGCTGGTCTGATATGTTAGGGTCACACAGTTCACCGAAGTTGTATGGAACTTATAAATTATTATATTTCCCACACTATTGTGCATCTCTTCTCTGTTCCATAACTGTAAACTCTGTTCCATAAAAGTTATATGGATACTTCAACCATTTGCTTTTCCATAAAAAATTGTACTCTTCTACGTCAAAAATTTTAAAAAAAAATTGTCTTTAAGAAAAAAAGTTTTTACATATGTTTCTCTTCAAATGCATTGCATGATTGCATCAAAAAAAATTGTCTTTAAGAAAAAAAGTTTTTACATATGTTTCTCTTCAAATGCATTGCATGATTGCATCCATTAACATTCCATTTTGCATATATAACTCCTCTAAAAATGTGATTTTTTTACAAGTACAACTCTGCGGAATGCTGAATGAGGATTGTTCTAAGAAACTCCTTCCATATTCAAACATCTACTAAATTTTTTTTTAACTGCTTAAAGAACAAAACAGATATAGAGTTCAGAATATACTTGGTGTGTAATAAATTGTGCAAGTAGGCTAGTACAGAGCAATACAGTGGTGTAATGGGTGCATGAATCATATGGTCGACAAGTATTTTGACCTGAAGTTCGGACAACTGATCAACATATTCTTGTGCAAGAATATCCACCCTTGTAGAAAACTGTTACCCTATTTTGATAAATGTTGGGCCTAATCTCAAAATACTCTCCTTTAGCCACTTTGCAAGGGCTCTCCTTCTTACTACTTTTTTCTCCTCTGTCATTCCTCCTGCACATTTGCCAGTAACTCATCAAAAAAGATGTGATTTAATATCACTCTCATTCAGACTGTAATTTGTTTAAGTTTATTAAATTTACAGGTGTACTCAAATAGTGAATTAACAAAACTCATGCAATGAAAGAACTAAGATTCTACGCTATTCAAACAACAACAGGGACCTAAGTCAATTCATATTGCATAATTCAATCGTAACAAACAGCTCCCTACTCTAAACCATAATGCGTGCCTGCGTAGTATCGCCTCATCACGGGAGTTCAAGAACTGTTAGGACACGGACTTATGAACCATAAATATGAATCGAACTTCAATTTTAACCAAGTTCTATCATGAGATCCAACCTTTGTTTTAATGGGTCAGGCATTTAACCAGATTGTGCGGTGAACTCAAATAATTCATTATTTATCAAAGTTGTGATTTTGGGTCAGGCATTTCAACAAACACAAGATAAGCACAAACGCATGCCAGCGCAAATCAAACAACAACCAACGAAATGGGTTCAATCAAGATCAAGATCCAGATCTGGAAATGTCTGCCATCGCGCTTCTTGATTCCGTATCCGAGCTCGATGGTACCGAAGGACTTGATGTCAGTGATCACCCCTTTCCTCTGATACACTCGCTTCCCTACTTGGTCGACGACTGAGCCCGACGAATGACCTTGATCAACGAGGTCGACGCCGGAATCTCATCGGGAGGCGGAGATTGCGACGGAATCTTGCGGAGGGAGTTGCTGAGGACGCACTCGAAGGATTCGACGACGGAGGCGTCACCATCGCCAGCGTCGTTGGGGATCGATTGCCAGCGGCGCAGAGAGAGAGAGAGAGAGAGGGAGGGAGGGAAGGAGTTAGAAAGAGAATTACGGGGGAAGAGCTTCTTATTTCGATTTTGGGCGGAAATTTGGGGGGGAGGGATTTCGATTTTGGAGCCAAAATTTGATGTTTTTATTTTTTTATATGGGTCATTGTATCCTAGACGGAAATTTCGTATCCTAGACGGAAATTTCCGTCTCGGATACAATGACCATTTAAAAAATTAAAAAAATAGAACCGTCTAGGATACTATCCTAGACGAAAATTTTCGCCTGGAATATTTTATTCTAGACGGAATATTCTAGATGGAAATTTTCCGTCTAGTTTAATACAAACTAGACGAAAAATTTTCCGTCTAGAATATTCCGTCTAGGATATACGTTTTTTTACTAGTGAAAGCAAACACAGGAGTGACACTCTCAAAAGCATCAAACATGAGTCATATAATAAAATCAAATATTGAGTTGTAGAAATTGGATGACAATATATTGCTGAGGAAAACACAAATTAAATTATCAAGCACACATAATTGCAATGAGAATCCAATGATATTAGTACATTCTATAATGATAAGAGAGATATTTTAGAAAGAACGTGTTTATTAGAGCTCAAGGGTAAAAATTGATAGTTCGGTTGAGGCTAAATAACCATATTGGTATTTTAATTCAACCCCATTTGCCAAGAAGGTATTTTAAATAAAAAAATCGGCGTTAAGGTATTTTAATTGATTAAAATTACCAATTAGGTCCTTTTTCTCGTCGGCGATCACTTTTCCGACGAGAAGTCGTCACGTGCGTGGCACATGATGACTTAATCTGTATAAATACTCATATTGGTATTTTAATTCAACCCCATTTGCCAAGAAGGTATTTTAAATAAAAAATCAGCATTAAAGCATTTTAATTGATTAAAATTACCAATTAGGTCTTTTTCCTCGTCGGCGACCACTTTTCCGGTGAGAACTCGTCACGTGTGTGGCATGTGATGACTTAATCTGTGTTTTAGCTGATGATGTGGCTCGGTTTGCTGATGTGGCTCGGTTTTAGCTGCTGATGTGGCTTAATCACAATTTAAGTCCAAAACGAACCAACCTAAACCCTAAAAATTTCAAAACAAAGATCAAACATCCACGCATTCACTCCAGATCTCAGATCCAACTCAATTATCTTACCTTTACCGCTAACAGAAGCAGCCAAAACCCCCGATTCCAGGAACTTCTAGAAGAAAACGCCATGGGAATTCGGAGAGAAGAAAGTGAGAAGACGAAGATCACTGCAGACTAGATTGCCGCCGGCGCGGCCATGGATCGATGCAAGAGAAAGAGGTTCTATTTATACGGTAATTTCTCCACGAATTTTTCGCTAATTTTTTTACCAATTTTAGAAATGGGGGATTTTAAAATGCATCGACTCTTATTCTTCCTGCCACTGCCACGTCAGAAAACCGGTTGAATTAAAATGCACGTGACCAGTTCTCGCCAGAAAAGTGGTCGCCGACAAGCAAAAAGACATAATTGGTAATTTTAATCAATTAAAATGTCTTAACGCCGATTTTTTATTTAAAATACATTTTTGGCAAATTGAGTTGAATTAAAATACCAATATGGGTATTTATACAGATTAAGTCATCACGTGTCACGCACGTGACGAGTTCTCCCCGGAAAAGTGGTCACCGACGAGAAAAAGGACCTAATTGGTAATTTTAATCAATTAAAATGCCTTAACGCCGATTTTTTTATTTAAAATACCTTCTTGGCAAATGAGGTTGAATTAAAATACCAATATGGGTATTTAGCCGTTCGGTTGATGAAGTGATCCTCAAAATTCTCAAATAGTTTTTTTTAAAAAAAAAATCTAAAAAACAGAAAGGCAAATATCCTATCAATTTAAAAAATAATATTTTCAAGAAAAATTTGCAAATAAAAGAGAGTTTTGGGGTTTTCATTCTATACCATTGGAAGAATTTATATTTGTGCTTCCCTCCATCAGGATTCCATCTGAAACATAAAGAAAAAGATTCCATCAAATTCAACAATAATATTTTTCAATTAGAATCAATTTTCAAGTTAAAATCACAATGCATCCCAAAATCATAATTCTCACTCGGATTCACATAAAATACTTCTCCTAAATAATTTCTGGCAGTAGCCAAAAAATTTTGTTTCTAATTTCATTTAGAACTATTTGCAAAAAGATACAATTAGAATAAATTGATCTTAAACTCTCTGCAAGATTTCGAGGGATAAAACTATATATTCAAATATCTAGGGCTAGAGATCGAAACTTATAGGCGAATGAGAGGGTTACCTTGTGATTGGACTCCAAAAGAGAGGCCAATGCGGCGACGAGGAGGAGGACGACGAGGAATCGAGAAAAATAATGCATCGTTGACTGAATTGAGGGGAAATGCCCTAGCTCGAATTTTCGACTCTTTTTATTTTAATTTTTTATTTTTTTGGCAACGATCGAGAGAAAGAACGAAGGAAAGAGGCGGAGAAAAAAGAAAACTTCTCAGAGATGGGGGCGGATAGGAGAGAGGGGGATCTCGAAGAAAGAAGAAAACAAAAGCAAAATTCTTGTCTGGGTTAGGATAGAGAGGTGGATCTCTTTTGGGTTTACAGGGGGGATCTCGAGAGGGAGGCTTTTTGAATTTTAAAATCGATTAGGGGGAAGAACGTGGGTAGTAGGAGAGGGAGGCAATATGAGAGAGATGCGGGAAGGGAGGCAGTAGAAGAGAGGGGAAATAATGACATGGCTCCTTTTGATTGGTCCACCTAAGATTTACTGTTCATCATAACTTTTTTTGTTGTTCTCCTTTAGTTTATAAGTAGTCGATTAACGCATTAGATTACAATGTCGCATATCTGATGAATAAAGGATCAGCCGAATTATTTCTAGTCAAATTGTTCAATGATTTAGAAATAGAAAAAACTTGAGATTTCAATTTAATTAGTATGACGATATTCATCATAAATACATGAATGTAAGTGCTCATGTTTTGTAGCTGATTGATTTTCTTCATATGAGTTAAGCTAATGCTATCAACATGAATATTTATGTTTATGTTTATTGTCCTTTCCTTTAGATATATTGGCTGAGTTATTAGAAGAAGGGTGTAATGACCATAATTTTTCGATATTGATTTGAATATTTTTTCTGGTATTTTAAATATTAAATTATTATTTTTTAAAAATGAGTATTTATATTTTCCCTAATTTTCTATAATTTTCTATGATTTAGAAACCCGATTTTATATTTAATGGTTCTACTAATTATAAATTTAATTGTTACTCTAAAAACTTTATAAATTATTATTATTATTATTAAATTTTATTATTATTATTATTATTATTATTATTATTTATTATTATTATTATTATTATTATTATTATTATTATTAATAATAATAATAATAATAATAATCATCATCATCATCTTGATTAATCATCATCATCATCTTGTATTAATATTTAGCATGCACCCCTTATCTCTCTCCTTCCTCAGATTTCCGCGTCACCTCCTCATTTTCAGCTTCCCCACTTCTCCGTGTCCCCCCTCTCTCGTGTTTCCCACACTCCTCCCTCTCCCTCATGTCCTCCCCTCAGATTTCCCCGTCTCTCTCCTCTAGGTTTGTCAAATGGATGGTTTTGGTTGTGTCTTGGTTGGGTCATAAATGGGTGGGCATATTTATGACCACTTGACCATTTATGACCCTTTATGACCCATTTAGCATTTGCTAAATGAGTCACTTCTCATCCACCAATTTACTAAATGAGTGGTTCATGAATGACCAAATAACCCATTTAGTTATGATGTTTTATATATATGTAAGTTTTAGGGGGTTTTCTGCAAATTTTTAGAGGGGTTTTCTAGAAATTTTTAGAAGGGTTTTCTATAAATTTTTAGGGGGGTTTCTGCAAACTTTCAGAGCATTTTCTGCAAAAACTTTCAGGGGGTTTTAAAACCGAGAAACACATACAAAAAATAAATGAAGAATTGGCCTATTTTTACAAGTTTTGGAAAGCAATAGTCTTCAATGAATGCAAACCATACGTTGCCTAGAGGTGGAAACCACGACTTGAAAATACACGATAACAATTTTCATCAATCTGAACAAACTGTGAATGAACATACATTGTTTTCGAGCAAGCTGCAGTATGGGAAACACAATGACCATACACCTCATGAGATCATATAGAACCAATTGCCTCGCTTATATTCACAACATCGCCTCACGAAAATTAAAAACAGTAAGGGCTAATGCAGCCCATGGCAAAATCATAGAACTCTCTAATTTGTAGCCTGCACAATCATATTGCTTATGGAGCTAGCCTGCTCTTTGACGGTCTCTACCAGTGAATCCTGCAAATCGAAAACATCTATTTGAGTGTGTGAACAATATGCAGATATACTGAAGCAAACAAGAAATTTGCAAACACTAATATTTTTTAAACAGTAAACTAGAAATTTGCAATATATTCATTTTGATAAGAACGTGGGAGCAAATACAGATGTTAAGCTATATGATTTTCTAGTTCAAATGCATGGTATACTGAAGCAAAATAGGAGTTGATCTTGGGTGTATTTACAATATTTTCTTTTATGACTTTAATTTTGAGATCTGGTTTAATCTTGGTTGGAGATTTAAAAAGGAACACAGAAATTTGTAAGCAACTACATATTACCCTTTTTTTTTTCAAATAACAGGTATCAATTCTTTTGATCCAGAGATGACACATGCACATGGATTTTCTTTAGCAACAAGATACATACATCCTTGGGGGAAAATGAATCTGGAGCATTAACTTTTATATTGAAATGTCATTTTTTCCCTAACAATTAAACTAGCAAGTGCCCAAAATACTTAGGTTCCTTGTGGCAACTAGTATAATTTGAAATATTCCAGGTACCATATGCGCGAAAGATAAGTCACCCACAGTTTGAAGGCATTAGAAGATCAAATTCTACAAGGAACAATATGCAAGTACTAGCGAAAGACAGATGCGAATTACAAACTTTGCATAAACCCCTCTAATAATTTGAGAATTCAGATATATGTTTAAAATTGTGAAATAAGATTGGTTATTTCATGGTGTTCCAACATGCATTGGCTATATTACTAATGGAATATGATAAGGTTTAACCTTGAATGTTGCAGTAAACACTGACAATGAACTACTGTTTGGTGGAAAATTTGTAAAATAAAAATGAAATAACTGGGTTTGATTTTATTCTCTCTAACTGCTTAGAAAAAGAATATTTACAACTCTCTCAATCTTAATTACAATTCGAAGTTCCTAATTACAAAAGAGAAGAGAATCGACAGAGATCCTCCCCTTTATTTAAATCTAGGTTCTTCAATGTGACGATGGAGTGCCTCCCTCGAATGCTCGCGACGAGTTTTCTCTCCGTTGATGATCCGACGTTTTGCTTCACTGGAACGATTTCTCCTCACGATTTGATGTTGTGGAGAACTTGCAAAGTAAGTTTTAGAACTCTGAACGAGTTGATAACTCTATGAAAGTGTTGATTTAACCGAAATCGGTTTGTAAGACAATGATGAAGAAAGCTCCTGTTTTCGATCTCCAAAGCTCCAGTAAATCCCCCAAAAAAGTCATCCAAAGATCTCTTCTTTGCTGCCAAGCCGAAGGGCCCGAACTCAGTTGAGTTTACTCCTATTTATAAGGGATTAAGGGAGTAACCGCCTCCTTAATTCTCTCTATAATGGGGTTAAATTGGGTGTAACTGCCCCCTTAATCTGCTCCTAAGTGGGACGAAAATCCCTCCAAATGTAGAGGGAAAACGATTCCTGAAACTGTTCAGCTCGTGTTTGAACGAGTCAAACACCGAAAATGGTGTTCTGGGTCCGAACTCTGTGTTTTAGACTTGAAACGCGGAGTTGGGCCTGTTTTAGGCTAAAAACGCAGTGTTCACACAGTGTTGTAAATCTAAAACACAGAGTTAGGACGTAGAGATGAACTCTGCGTTTTGAGTCTACGAACTTTACGTTTTTAATTGGAGCACTGGGGATGACCTCTGTGTTTTGACTTTGAAACGTGGGCATGACCTCTGTGTTTTGATGGTGTAACGCAGAGATGACCTCTGCGTTTTGATGGTGAAACGCAGAGATGACCTCTGCGTTTTAGTGTGAAGAGACCATCAATTTGTGATCTCTTTTGCTGGAACGTTGCAAAGACCGTCATCTTAGACTACTTACAATGGAGGTGTTGAAAAAAGAATTCAACTGTTGAATTGGTTTAATGGAGTTGTTGAAGAGGGTGTTGAATCCCATTTGGATTAATTTGTGTTGAATTAATTCAACATGTTGAATAAGGAGTGGGAGAGGACCACACACAGGAGAGAGAGAGTAGATTGGACGCATGTCTTCATGCTATTGGGTGGTGGGATTTTTGAGAAAATAAGAATATGAAATAAAAGTGGTGGGGTATGGTGTTGAATTTTATTAAACAAAGCCATTGTAGAGTGTAAAAGTTGAGTGGGTATTGAATTATTAGGTGGAAGAGAGAGAAGATGATGTGGAGTGTTAAAAAGTAAAAAGTAGGGTGTTGAAAATTGAATTATTAGGTGGAAGAGAGAGAAGATGATGTGGAGTGTTAAAAAGTAAAAAGTAGGGTGTTGAAAAACAAAACCATTGTTGATAGTGAGAGAAGATGATGTGGAGTGTTAAAAAGTAAAAAGTAGGGTGTTGAAAAACAAAACCATTGTTGATAGCCTTATAATCTTCATCTTGGCTCATTGAAAATATGAGTCATCAGGTTGTAACTCTCGATGTTGATTGTGAAGGCTGTTGAACTAGAGCTTTCATCGGTTGTTGTGATTTGTGAAGTTCGTCAGATTGTAACCTTCATTGATCTACATAAAAATCTTCAAATTATAGCCTTCTAGAAGTCGTCAGATTGTAACTTCCATCATCGGTGTTTGATGGGGGATCAACTATCTACAGTGATTTTTAGACAACCTACAACTACTGTCAGGTAAAATAAAATATAATCCACAGTACCATAACGTAACTAAGTTAACGTATATTTATTTGATCTTTCAGTACCTTTTAGGTTCATTTTCCATAAATGTCATCAAGAGAGAAAAGGAAGAGAGAAAATACCTCAAAGAAAATACACATCTAGATTTCACCTTGAGATTCAAAATTTTGAATATCACTAAAATCATGTAGCAATAGTGCCAACTTGCCCCAAGATTGGAGAGAGAGCACATTTATTTTTCTTATGAAGAAGGAAGCTTTTGGATAGTTATAGCCTCTCCTTGGTCTTAAAGCTACAGTGCTTAGCATTTTACATGGACTAGGTGTACTGGACAATTAGAGCTTCCCTATGTCTTGAAATCTAGAGGCTACAAAACAGGATAAATAGTCTAGAATATATCAAAGACCATGACAATCTGAAGATATCAAAGACCATGACAATCTGCCTTCTGGCATTTTAGATCATATAATATTTTGGGTGAAGACACATAATCACATATAAAATTTCTTTATAATAGCCATCTATTTTTCAACTCAAGTCTAGGAGGTCAGTGATCTGTTTCTTTGTTGCAGGTGCTTCCATTGCATAACCAGCAACTGATATTTTTGGATGGAAGGCCACTTGAATATTTATGAAATGTAATTGCTACCTATTAGAGTAAGGATTTTGGTTGAACACCATAGACAACTAGTGATCTTTCAAAAATAGCAACATTTTATTCATCAAGAATAAGTAATATAGCAATGTATAGTTACAGACTCAAAAAACTCAAAGCTGCAACAGAACGGAAATTCCAAGTCTTAACCAAACTTAACTTTCAAACAAACTAAATATCCAAACAATTAAACACTAACTACAGAATGATTTCTAAATAGCATAAAGGTTCCCAAATAACTCATTCTGGTTTGCTATCTGAAATGAACAACCTTAATAAAAGCCACATGCCACTGCTAATCTGTAGGAATTAATAGGGGGGAAGCACAAAAGATATGGCATTTTTTTACATATTTGCAATTAAAACAACCGGTACCAAAGAACTATATATAAATAAAAGGAAGATGTTGTTGGATTTTTTTGGTCAAAACCGCTTTCCAAAATGAGTTTTCAAACTATATATATATATATAATATATATATAATATATATATATTATATATATATATTATATATATATATATATATATATATATATATATTAACTACAAGTACTTTTCATAAATGCTTAGTAGCTTAGTGGAAAGTTAATGTTTTGGTGTTTCAAAAGGTCCCTTGTTCGAGACTTACCAACGGCAAGCCGAGAAGTGTTTTATTTCAATTAATCCCTCATAAGTTCTAGTAGACCGTGGGTCGTGGGTCGTGGGTCGTGAGCCATGGGCTAGGGGCCGTGGGCTAATAGGCCGGGACTAATCGGACTGAGGCGCTAAGTGGCACTTTGTTAGGCGTACTTTGCACTTCGCACGGAGGCATCGGGGCGAGGTGACGCCACATTGGCTACAACTATGGTCACCATGAAGGTTGCCTCGCAGGCTATTTCGCCGCATATGGACAAGCTACGCATTCGCACGAGGATGTGACCCTAGCATTCTCAAAGTCAGACGAGGTTCGTCAATTGGTTGACGAGGTTCCACTTGTTCGACGAGGTTTGTCTGATTCACAAGATCAGACGAGGTTTGTCTGATTCACAAGATCAGACGAGGTTTGCTCATCAAACGAGGTTCGCTTGTTTGACGAGGTTCGATCGTTCGATGAGGTTCGTCTGTCATACAAGGTTTGTCTGTTTAATGATGTTCGCTCGTTCGACGAGGTTTATTTGTCATATGAGGTTCGCCTATTTGACGAGGTTCATTTGTCAAATGAGGTTCGTCTGATTTGCTAAGACGTGACCCTCGCGTTACGTAGCAACGCGTCCATTGGTTACCTCGTATACAGGAGTTACTACACGCAGCAATTACAATAATATTTAGAGCAATTTAATACATTCATGTTACAATTTTAATTGCCATTGAGAATTGTAATAGTCACATTAATTATGAGTGACACTTGAGCTGGCCTTAGAGGCATATAAATAGCGTCGTTAGGCAGCTCATGGCAACAAACACGCGAGCTTGGAAAACGAACATCAGATTAAGGAGATCTTGACGTTGTTGCTGTTGTGCTGCTGCTGCAGAACCTGTGCCCATAGGAACTTGCCCTTAAACCGAAATGTTTTGAACCGAAAGGTTCTGAGATCAAGAAGATCTTTGCTTTGACCAAAAGGTCTTATAGATCAAGGAGATATTGACAGTACTGGGTTGGTGTACACCAGAATACTATGCTACTGTTCCTAAAAGTAGTTTGACATTGTGATCCTTTCACCGGAGTAGGTCAAATATTGCTTTAAACACAACGTTTTTCAAACGCACAACAGTGGACTAAAAAACTTAAAATTATAGTACATCATAATTTCTCTGTTTTATTCTAGATTTAACCATAATTTCTAACATATGCCACAACCAATATGCATGAATCTGGAGAAGAAAAAAATGCCACAGCCAATATGTAGAAGAAAGACGCTCACTTCTTAAAATATCCCATATATGTAGGTGGGAACAGGGGAAGGGGTCAGATTTATCCTGATGGGAGCAAGAGTAACAATACAGTCTATAATGCTACATTCGCGGGTATAGTAAGCAAAATAGTACGTAAAGAAAAAGGAGGATATGAAATAACCATAGTTGATGCATTGGATGGACACTAAAAGGTTGATATTATACCTCCAGGACCAGAACTTCTTGTTTAAGAAGGCGAATCCATCAAGCTTGATCAACCGTTAACATCTTCTTTTTTCGTTGTCTCATCTAGAGTTCAATTGGCGGAATCAAAATGTGGTGTATAATTATAATAAAGAACTTCTAAAGAACTTCTTTTGATTATTGTGAAATAACATTCACAGCCTCTACTCGTGTCCTAGCTCGTCTGAGAGCTAGATTCGCCTCAATTGCTTGTCTCTTACCCTGAGCTCTACTCAAGTTAGCTTCAGCTATTTCAAGAGCTTGTTGAGCTTCTTGCGGATCAATGTCAGTACTGAGCTCTACTCAAGTTAGCTTCAGCTATTTCAAGAGCTTGTTGAGCTTCTTGCGGATCAATGTCAGTATTCATCTCTGCATCATTTCCTAAAATCTATCCCATAGGTAGAGCGTTTGAATCAATAGAGAACCTTTTCTTCTGTATGAATCAATATTATTACATTCCATCTTGTTGTGATAGGAATGAACAGAAACAAATAAGCTTTCTCTAATGTAATAAATATTCCAATTGTCATTCCAAAGACTCCAGCCATTTTATTTCTTCCGAAAAGTTCAGGAATGGGTATGTACGGAATAGATAAATTCCACCCACCTAAGTAAAGAACTGTTATAGTTCAGGAATGGGTATGTACGGAATAGATAAATTCCACCCACCTAAGTAAAGAACTGTTATAAATAATAAAGAAACTAATAAATTTAGGTAAGAAGCAAGGTAAAATAAAGCGTATTTGATATCTGAATACTCTGTTTGATAACCTGCGACAAATTCCTCCATTGCTTCTGGTAAATCGAATGGTAATCTTTCACATTCCGCTAGAGAAAAAATTAGAAAAAAAAACAGATAGATAAAGCATACCAATGGTGAAGAAATAAGAACAGAAAGAGAAGCAAAAATGAGAAGAAAGGAACACGATTAGAAGGAAAATCAACCAGAATCAACGCGTAAAAGACTTAATTCCTGCTCAAAACTCCAGAAACCCAAAAACTTTGCATTACCCAAATTCAGCAAAAGGAGAGAGCAGACGGGGGCAAATTGCAAAAAAGAAACGATCTTTGACTGACCTCTTGTGCTCGAAGGTGATCAGAGGGAGGAAAACCCTAACATCCAAAATCAAACAATTAAACCCTAGATTAACAACTATACAAACAGGATCAAGCACCAGATCCAAGCAAAACAAAGAAATACGCACCGAAGCCAAGCATCGCAGAGATCGGTAGAGATCACAGTACCTGGCTGAACTTGAGGGCATGCTGCTCGTCGGGGAGCTGAAGCGAACCATTGACGAAGACAAGCGTCGAAGAGAGAGACGAATTGGCGCTCGGAGAGAGGAATCGAAGCTCGGAGAGAGGAATCGAAGCTCGGAGAGACGAATCGCAGAGAGAGAGGGGAGCCGAGATTTTTAGTGCTTGTTTGGATTTGGAGGGGGTGAAGGGAAGTTAGGGTAACTTAGGGGAAGTTAAGTTAAGGGAAGGGAAGTGAATTTCTAAAACTTGTTTGTGAAACTAGTAAAATGAATCAAGGGGAAGTTATTTCACCCTGTTTGGAAAGTGTAATAACGGGAAGGAAAGGGAAGGGAATGCATATAAATTTATATAAATACTCTCACATATTATTAAGTTATATTGTTGTTAGAAATTTTAGCCGTTGGATTTTGATCTTAGCTAGGGGTAAATATGTCTCTCTATATTTGTTGTATTCCCCCTCTTTACCTTCACCCCCATTACACCCCAAATTTGGGGGGAAGAAATCATGTTATTTTTTCACCTCCTTTCATCTCCCCTCACCCCTATTAACTTGCTATATTTACTTCCCAAACAAGGTTAAAAGTTAACCTCCCTTCCCCTCACCCCCATTACCCTCAATCCAAACAAGCCCTTAGGGTTTCGGAGAGAGGAATCGCAGAGAGAGGGGAGAGGAGATTTCTATCATTAAGCTTGGGTGGGTTATGGCTGGGTCAATACCCGCCCATCTAATACACATTTAACCTATATAGAAATAATTACCCAACCTATTAGGTCCATCTAGCTAAATGGGTTGGTTTGGGTTGGTTTCAAATTGGATGGATCTAGATGTGTTATTGGATTTGGATCAGAATTGTCATCCCTGAGCACCATCCATGTTGAATTTCTTCAACAAATCTTTTGCATACTTTTGTTGAGAAATAATGATTCCTTCATCCGTTTGTTTTACTTTAATTCCAAGGAATTAATGAAGAAGTCTCAAGTCAGTCATATCAAATTCTTCCATCATGGATTTTTTAAAATCCTTTCTCATTTTCTCATTATTGCCTGTAAATATAAGATCATCAACATACAAGCAAATAATAAGAAAATTACCACTTTCATATTCTTTGGTGTAGAGTGCATGCTCGTATGGGCATCTCTTCAATCCGTTCTTTAAGAAGAATTTGTCAATTCGACTGTACCAAGCTCTTGGAGCTTGTTTCAGTCCATACAATGTTTTCTTTAAGCGATACACATTGTGTTCTTCTCCTTTCTTTTTGTAACCTGAGGGTTGTTCAACATAGACCTCTTCTTCTAGGAAACCATTAAGGAAAGCCGATTTCACGTCTATTTGACGCACGTTCCGACCCTTATGTGCTGCTAATGATAAAAGTAGATGAATTGTTTCTAAACAAGTTACAGGAGCAAAAATTTCTTCATAATTAACACTAAACTTCTGCTTGTAGCCTTTCACAACAAGTCTTGCTTTGTTTCTGTCTACTTTACCATTTGAGTCCAACTTTGTTTTGTAAACCCATTTTACACCGAGCACTGCTTTGTCTTTAGGAAGAGCTGTCAATTCCCATGTCTTGTTTCTTTCAATTGCATCAATTTCTTGATTCATGGCTATCCTCCATTTTTCTTCCTTGCATGCTTCATCATAACTTGTTGGATCTGCATCTACAAGTAATGCAAAATTCATTTCATCAGAAGTAATCATGACATAGTCATTTGAGGGATATCTTTTGGAAGGTTAATGTGGTCGGGCCGATCTCCATAATGATGGCAAAGTTGATTCTTCATCACTCGATGATGAGCTAGAAGTTGAGGATAATGGTTCAGCACCTTCTGGTTCAGCTACTTGTGCATCTTCTTTGTCTTCAATATTAACAGAAGTTGATTTCTGTTTTTGATCAGCAACTTTCCACTTCCAAGACTCTTCCTCATTAAAATGCACACCCTTACTTATGATGGTCTTCTTTGAGATGGGATTGTACAAACGATATGCTTTTGCATTTTCACTGTATCCAACTAGAATACATTTTTCAGATTTATCATCTAGCTTACCTCTCTTTTCATCTGGAATATGAGAGTAAGCTATACCGCCAAAAACTCTCAAGTGGCCAACACATGGTTTTATCCCACTCCAAGCTTCTTGAGGAGTCATTCCTTGAACAATTTTAGTTGCAGCTCGATTAAGTAAATAGACAGCGCATGTAATAACATCACCCCAAAATTCATTTGGCATCTCTTTGGCTTTCAACATGCTCCTTGCTAGCTCCATGATGGTTTTATTTTTCCGCTCAACTACTCTATTTTGCTGGGGAGTGTAACGAGCAGTTTGCTGATGTCGAATTCCATTTTCTTTCAAAAATTGCTCCAAAACAACAAATTCTTCACCACGATTAGAACGCAAAGTTTTTATTATAAAGCCACTTTGATTTTCAACAAGATCTTTGAAGGTTTTAAAGCATTCAAAGACTCTGTTAGGTTGGGGGTGGATACCAACCTCCGGCGACGAGGAGCTCCGACGAGCTCCAGGATGACGCAGGCGAGCTCCGGTTGTCACCGACGGCGGAGGAGCTCCGACGAGCTCGAGAAAGGCGGAGATGACGCAGGCGAAGTCGGCGAACGCAATCCTTCGGTGAACGCACACTTCGGCGAACGCAGAGTTGGGCGAACGCACCCTTCGAAGTCTGCGTTCGACCCCCCTCCGACGAGCTCCAGGATGACGCAGGCGAGCTCCGGTTGTCACCGACGGCGGAGGAGCTCCGACGAGCTCGAGAAAGGCGGAGATGACGCAGGCGAAGTCGGCGAACGCAATCCTTCGGTGAACGCACACTTCGGCGAACGCAGAGTTGGGCGAACGCACCCTTCGAAGTCTGCGTTCGACCCCCCATTCGAGCTCTGCGTCTTTCGACCTCTGCGTTCGCCCCCCTTCTTTTGGCGTCCGCGGGTCGCTGGCGACAGGCTGTCGCCAGCTCATCCCCTCATCGCTTATTTAAACCCCCCCGCTAGGGTTTCGGAGGCTGTAGCTTTTTACCCCTCCTCCGATTTTTCTTCTGGCGGCGACCAAGAACGCAGCAGCGTTCCCATCTCCAGCGCTCAATTGATTTTGAGGGGAGATTAAGAAAAAGATTTAAGGAGAGAGAGGAATATAAAAAGGGGTTTTTTATAGTGGGTTATTCATTTGTTCTCAAGTGAAAATTGAAAGGGTTCATACCCTTTGATTATTAACACTGTAGCTACAGTGTTTATCTGAGAAATCTCAGTTTTGAGATACGCTCCTAAATTGTAATTTCTTGTTTAATTAATAAGAAATTATCTGTGTGGCTCCCGAGGACGTAGGCAGTTGCCGAACCTCGTTAAATCTTGGTGTACTTTTTCTATACTGCGTTTCTGTTGCATTAGGGGTTTAGGCGTTAAATTCCAAGTTCGGGCGTTGATATTGTTGTCTTCCCTACCAGAGAGTTGGAACGCTACAGTCACGGCAGTGAGTAGCTCATCGGGAAAGAAAAAGTTGAAGTTCGGCGACGTTCGTGATTTGGTTCTCAGTGAGGAGATCCGACGGAGAGAAACGGGTGAAGCTACAACCTCTTCAGTATTGCATACAGAGTCAAGAGGTAGAAATTCAACCAGAGGAAACGGACGAGGAAAATCAAACTTCAGAGGTAGATCAAAGGACAGGAGGTCCAAATCAAGGAATCCAAGCAACAGCTCGAAGGCTATCGAGTGTTGGAATTGTGGAAAGACCGGGCATTACAAGAATCAGTGCAAGAGTGCACAGAAGGAGAAGGAGGCGAAGGCAGAGGTGAATGTCACCTCCACTTCAGGAGGAGACGACGCATTGATATGCTCTTTGGAGAGCAAGGAGGAATCTTGGGTGTTAGATTCAGGAGCGTCGTTCCATGCTACCTCTCAGAAAGAATTCTTCGAGAAGTATACCCCCGGAAATCTTGGATACGTATATCTTGGTGATGATCAACCATGTGCTATTGTGGGCAAAGGCGTGGTGAAAATTAAGTTGAACGGGTCAGTATGGGAGCTGAAGGATGTCAGG